TTCATTTTTCTTGCCCAGTTTACTGAAGCTAAATAAAAGGCTTAAGTCTGTGGCCCATGCCTATGGAGTCTCTCGTAAGATTACTGCTGACATTCACAAATGGAGGGAAGCAGTTTGTAGACTGAGAAAAGGGCTGTTGATCCCACCTAGTTTTATAGGTGTTTCTTGAACATTCTTAAAAGCAATGACTTTAGGGCCTCCCCAGTGGCGCAGCGGTTGAGCTCTGGGTTGCGAAGCTGCCCGCGGCATCTGCAGCACCTGTTCAATCCCCGGCTGCTCCCCGGCCACCGAGGAGGGTCCCACACGGCGCGCAGACTTCTCCTGCTGCCCGCTGCTCCCCTCAGCAGTGTGCTTCGGTCCTTCTGCCTGCTCTGCTCCCCGCTCTGGCTCTGGTGAATTCTCTCGCCCTCCTGCGCTTCTGACTGTACCCAGGGCTTGCATAAATAAATAAATAAAGATAAAACTCCAATCAATCAATCAATAAATAAATAAATCTTAAAAAAAAATAAATAAAGCAATGACTTTAATTGGAACTTATTTCTTCATAGCCTCAACATACTTGCCCATTATCTATTTGTTATTTATTATAATAAAATGTAATGTCACGTAGAGGTAAGAATCCCAAAATACACCTGTATTTTCCATGTTTGTGTTTTACATAACAGCTAACCATAAACAATTACTTTTATGAAACACATAATATCCTACCTATCTGACTCTACCATATATCACCTCTGCTAAATTTTTGCTTTAAGTTTCCTTGGTCTTATACTAGTTTAAGTAGCAGGTTAGTAGTAGAGACAGAATGATATTGGTAGTGAGATGATTGTGATAATTCTTTTGCATAGCCTAGATTAAAAAATACTTATGCAACTACCAAGCCACTTAATGCTATTCCCTTAGTGCCAGACCTTATTCAGCATGGGTCAGGTTAGGATTTTATTTTTTATAATTTGTTTTTGTTACATAAATTCTACATAATTAGCCTAACAAATTAGAAAGAAGAAATAATTTCTTGTGTATATGAGAGAGGAATATGACTTTATATTTCATATTCTGTAATCTAAGGCAGAGGTCATAATCTGATATTGATTTGTAACTAGTAGACCTAAAAAGAATTTTAAACTAGAAACATGTAGGGAAGACAGTTAAAAATAAAGAGCTCAGAAACATGTAGAAAGAAGGTTTACATCATAGTTCTTAATTAGAAATTAAGTCACTTCATTAGCTTTGAACTGCTTAATGAAAAATAGGGAGAAATCATGAGTTAAAGTTCTTACTACTTGAAAGACGAAATGTATAAGGTTTCAGGGGAGATAGAGATTAAAAGAGTGTCACAATGATCTTTCTGAAAAGAAGATAGATAAAAAGAGAGTCATTGGCAGAGATTTCTAGAGGATTAACCACATCTTTGTAGTTATTGTTATTGTCAACCCTTTCTGAAAATCAGGGGTGTGATATTTAATAGTATTACTCTATTCTAAACGTATAATACTGCTTGCAATCCTCAGTTTCATTTCTCTTGTCTTTGCTCATGCCCTCTCCTACCTCAACCTAATTGGCAAATACATGTTCATGTTGCCTCAGTCTGTCAAATGGTCATGCATTTCTTCTGTGAAGGCATTCCTGACTATCTCCTACCCTCCCTGTCTATTACATGCCTTTTTCTTCCTGTTGGCTGTCACAGTTTTCCTGTACAGCCTGATACTTTAATGTCTTCATGTGTTCAATCTCTAAATGAGCACCTTTAGGATAAGCGTTTGTATCCCAGTGTCTGAAATAATGCTTAATGAATGTTTATATATGTAATGTGTATATATATATTTATTACTGTGTATGCTTATATATAATAAATGTTTCTTGATATTAGCTAAAGCAAGATCCATACATCTTAAAAACCAGCCTTGTGCAGCAAAGTTAGCATTCTTGTTTCATGTCATACTAGTATATTCTTTATTAAATCTAAATTATTCTAACAAAGTTTGATGTATGCAGCCCCATACTTTAATAGAATGCTTAACTGTGGTTTAAGATACTTGTGGAAAATCTCCTTTTATAGTGGTTGTTTATCCATTCTGAAAGCAGATAGTCCAAATCCTGGCTTTACCACTTGCAGCAGTGAGCGCTTGTTCAGGTACTTAACATCTCTAAGCCCATGTCTTCATTTTAAAATGTGAATAATGATAGCACTTCTGTTACAAATACCGCATGAGACATGCATGAAAAGTACTTAGTACAAAGCTACTTCATTCTATTATTTATAATATCAATCATTTCTTTGGCAGTATCTTGGATTTGGAACACCATCTAATCTGGGAAAAGGCAGAAGGGCTGCAGCTGCTGCTGCAGACCTGGCCAATCGAAGTGGAGAATCAAATACTCACCAAGATATTGAAGAAAAAGATCGACTATTACGTCACGTGGAAGCTAGAGATCTCATTGAATTTGGCATGATTCCTGAGTTTGTGGGACGGTTGCCTGTGGTAGTTCCTTTGCATAGCCTCGATGAAAAAACACTTGTACAAATACTAACTGAGCCACGTAATGCTGTTATTCCTCAGTACCAGGCTTTATTCAGCATGGACAAGGTTAGATTTTAATTTTTCATCCTTAGTTAATTTATGATGGTTTTTTAGTGATTGTAATTGTATAAATTAGCATAACAAGTTAAAAAGCAATAATGCTCACCTGGAATACCTGCCTATTCTTTGCTAAATGTGGATCTAGGAATCAAGGAAGGAACATTGTCCTGCTTTAAACTTAGATTTATTTTTTTTTCTTAATTGAGATCATCATAGCAACAAAGCTCAAGGATCTAGAGAAAGAAATTATGCCAGCAATGTGTCCCCAGCTCCTCAAGCCAGACACACAGGATTATCTTTTCAGCCAAGATACTGTAAATGCTTTGTTGTGACAGACTGTGTATATGTTTATATACTTTTGCTTAACTTTTATTAGCTCCCATATCTGCTCTGCAGCTGGACACTTGGAGGTCACCCAAGTCCATACAGTTAATCAGATAGCAAATGTTTTGGGTTATATGAACTTAATGTCTCTGTCAATAGTCTCATTTCTGTTGCCGCTATATCAAGTCAAACTGCTATCATTCTTTACTTTGACCCCTGAATTGGTTCTCAGTCAGACTGTCTCAAGTTTGACTCTGATCACCAGTACCAAAATATCTATCTTCCATTTCCAGAATGGATCTCTTTTAAATTACTGAGCACAGGGCTTCCCCGGTGGCGCAGCGGTTGAGCGCTGGGTTGCGAAGCTGCCCGCGGCCTCTGCTGCGCTGGTTCGATCCCCGGCTGCTCCCCGGCCACCGGAGGAGGGTCCCACATGGTGCGCAGACCTCTCCTGCCGCCCGCTGCTCCCCTCAGCAGTGTACTTCAGTCCTTCTGCCTGCTCTGCTCCCCGCTCTGGCTCTGCTGAATTCTCTCACCCTCCCGCGCTTCTGACTGTACCCAGTGCATGTATAAACAAACAAACAAACAAATAAATAAAACATGCCTCTATTAAAAAAATAAATAAATAAATAAATTACTGAGCACAGTGCCCAGCAAATAAATATTGAGTTCTTAATAAGTATTAATTGAATGAATAAACACAAAGCTAATTATTACTTCCCTCCATAAAGTCCTTCAGTGGTCCCCAAGTCTTATTAAAATGCTCCCATTTTGATGCTCCCTTAGCACTGTGAATACACAGTGCTAAATGCAGATTTGCTAATTTGTCACCACCCCTCGAGGGCAAAGGTGGTATCAACTCATCATTCAGTCTTTAATATGTAAACACTTAAGGTTCAGTAAATGTTGAGTTAACATATAAAATCCATGTTAATCTAGAAAATCTCTGAGGACTAAGGACAAATTTGTGATTCTTAATACTGATAGTTTCTCATAGGTTAGTTGATTGGAAGTGCTTCTTGAGGGCAAAATTCTAATGCACCATGAGAAATAATTACCTCACTTGAATTTTATTTTTTCTAGAGGTAGACGTTAGAGTTAATACCAAGAGCTTGTAAATCTGATGTTCCAAAGTATTTTGATATTTTTTGTATATTAAGTTCTCAATAATTTGAATTTCACTAGTTTGAAATTTGTGCTAATTTAGAAAGACTTGTTTAAAGTTTTGCCTTTGGTCTAGAGGATGAGAGGGTTAATAACATTCTTTAAAATGGGATTATAGGTCCCAGTGGATATTTCTCTAGGAAGGAGGTGATATTCTAACCAGTTAGGATCTGTTTCTAAGTATTAGTTAATCAGTATACTTGACCCTTTGGTGGAACAAATTTCTTTATCTGTAAAGTCAGGACATTGGACCACTAATGGTGTTAGGCAGTAATTGCTAATAGGTCAAATGCTGTATTAGGAAAATATCATCAATTATTACCCTAAATTCTCATTTCTTTTAAATCTATTTGTAGTGTGAACTGAATGTTACTGAGGATGCTTTGAAAGCTATAGCCAGATTGGCACTAGAACGAAAAACAGGTGCACGAGGCCTTCGGTCAATAATGGTAAGTTGGTATTATTACATAAAAACTAAATTATTGTTGTGTCTGACTTTTGAGACTATCAAGCCTTCCTGTTTTTGTTTTGGAAATAAATCCAGAAGATGAGCTTAATATTTCATAGGTTTTTAATGTCACTGTAGATTGTGTTTTATTTCTTTCGAAAAAAGGAATATTAAGATGTAACAAATGATGTGTACATAATACAATTAATGAAATAGAGAAAATCAATTATCATGTGAAGGAAAATTTCAGGAAATTCTACAAGGGCCTTAATCTGACTAAGTAACCCAGAGCCTCTTCTCAGACCATTGACATCTTCATTCTGGCTTGTTTGTTTGAAATTAGAGATACTATGACATTTTACTCCTAAATTCTACAATATGTATAAACTCACTATTTTTATTTTCATGAAAATCCTAGAGACTCAACCTATTTTCAGCTACTACCTATTATCTTCCTGAGATTTCCTGTCCCCTTTCCTCCCAAACCCCACCGGGTCTGGCGGCACAGTGGGTTTTTGTTTTCCTATGTGTTCCCAAAGGAAGCACATTTTTTGGGCCTCCCTGGTGGCGCAAGGGGTTAAGACATAGCACTATGAAGCTATCCACAGTCACTGCAGCATGAGTTCAATCCCCTGCCAGGGAGGTGACCCACATGGCGCAGCAGACCTCTCCTGACTTGTCCACTGCTCCCCTCAGCAGTGTATTTCTGTCAATCTGCCTGTTCTGCTCCCCACTCTGTCTCTGGTGAATCCTCTCACCCCCCCTTCTGGCCTGTACCCCAGTTCTTATATGCATAAATAAATAAATCTTAAAAAAAAGAAGCAGCACATTTTTCTATTCTAAGGATTTTACTGGTAAATATTACTTCTGATCTCAATAGGACTTGTAGATTAGAGCTACACATCTGTTACAGATAGTTTGAAAATATTCTTTCTAATAAAGACCTGACTTCAGCTGTTACTGATTAATGGCAGATTTATAGACATACAAACTAGAAGAATAGGTGATAGTTGACATTTTAAAAAGAAATTTGATGTATTCAGCCAGTATTTTCCTTTAGATGGGATATAATCCAGCCTCTGCATGTATGCAAAACTAGTTTTCTTCAGTGAACAACTTTAGATCTACTGTAGCACTTAAGAGAAATGCTTATTTGAAGAATTTGGTACAGATAATTTAAGATTACATTAATTTCAAAGTAAGGATTACCAGTTTACCTCCTTGGTGATAGAATATGCCAGGAATGTTATAATGACTTTTCTCTTAATTTAATTAGATGCTATTTTAATATGAAGAATATGAAAGGTTTTACGCTGACTTTTTTCAAAATTTAGTTCTGGTTACATCATAGGGACTCAATAATATTTGTTGAATTAATGAATTTGATTGGTAGCCTATAGAATGCAAGTATTTTGAATGTATCCTCAATTTTCATTATAACTAATTACTTTTAATCTCTGTAGGAAAAGCTGTTATTAGAACCAATGTTTGAAGTTCCTAATTCTGATATTGTTTGTGTGGAGGTTGACAAAGAAGTGGTAGAAGGGAAAAAGGAACCAGGATATATCCGGTAAAGTATATTGTCAAGCTAGAACACGTCTGAAACTAAAGATCAGCTCTTGATTGCTTTGGTTTATTAATCTATCATAAAATATACATATAAAAAACCTTATATTCATAAAGGAAACAATAATCTCTTAATTTCTGTAGGAAAATTTTCCAATTTTGATCTATAAAATAATCGTATTTATAAGCCTTTTTGAAAACTGATATTCAGAGTTAGCCTCCACTTTTTTCCCCTAAGGAAGAAGTATCAAAGGAGACATGAAAGTAATCCATATGAAAAGATTTAAATGAACTACTTATTCTCTAATCATGGCTTTCACCAGACTGGAACTTTGTTGACATAATTTTTTCTCAGTTGTATCATATCAGTTGACAAACTTGACACATCTTTTGCTGCTTTATTCCAGGGGCAAGCAAACTTTATTCTTGTTAAGGGCTGAATATATAATTTAGGGTCATAGACTCTATATTGTGGTTACTCAGTACAGAGTTCATAGCATAAAAGCAACCATAGACAATTCATTAACGAATGAACATGTCTGTGTATCAGTAAATCTTTATTTCACAAATAGGTGATTGCGTTTTTATTTGGTCTGCGGGCTATAGTTTACTGCCCTCTTATCTGTTCAACAAATATTATGCAGTACTTGACATTAATGTTAACCTACAAAAAATTAGCTTTCTGTTTTAACTAAATAACAAAGTATGTTGTTTTATGTTTGCTTATCTTCTAATATAACTTAGAAGGCAGTGATTGATTCTGAATAACTTTAGTTATTCAAAAAGACATACTTTGTTTTTATCGTTTAATAAAAATTCATATATGACTTTAAAGGAAATTGTGGTTCTGATCATAATTTTGATGAATTTGAGTCAGGTTAGAATTAGTCAGAAACTGTCAACATCTTTACCATAGACACGTTATGTGAAGCATTTGAGTTGAAATATTAGATTCCTTAGAAACTGATTTTTTTAAGCCTTCACAACTGAAGACTTGTCATTTTATTTCAGTAGTAAATCTGTTAGGGAAAATGTTAAGGAAATTACTTGGAACTCTTGAATGTGTGGTCTAAAATTTTTCCATATTTCACCCCTAAGCAATCTTAATTATTAAAAAGTGTGTGGTTTTTCTAACTATGTGGATTAATTTATTATTTTGCATCTAGAAATCATGCTTATCCCTAATTAAACAAAATAAACATGGTTGGCTTTCATTATAGAGCTCCAACGAAAGAATCATCTGAAGAGGAATATGACTCTGGAGTTGAAGAAGAAGGGTGGCCTCGCCAAGCGGATGCTGCTAACAGCTAAACTGTCAGACTTCTGTCCTGTATATAAAGCTTTTCCTTCCTTTGTTTAGGATCATAACTGTCTCTACAGTCTGACATTAAAAGCATTGGATCTATTTTGGATATCATACATGGTCAGAAACCTTTAGGATAAAAACAGATCATGTATATTATGTAACATCACATTGATTTATACAGAGGACATTATGTAGACTTTAATGACAGAATGTTAAGAGAAAACAATGTACATTATTTTGGTTGTTTTTAAAAAATATGCTTTAACAAAATTCTTAGGAGTTCTTTTAAGCAATGCAGGTATTGCAATAACTGTGGATTTTACAATAATGTTACTCTACAAATGGGAAAATAAATTCTTTAAAATTGAAGTTTGGGAATCTTAAGTTTAACTCTTTTTTACCCATATTTGTTTCCTGAAAACATGAGAACTCTGTTCACCTTAAAAAGTGGAACAGGTGGTTTCCAAGTAGTTAAAACTTTGATGGGAAAAGTACCCTGGAAAAACTTTGATTTGTTTAGCTGTATTCTTAAGCCTAATGCATGACACTAACTTCCCAATTGGTACGTTCAAAAGGTCATTATCTTGTTGACTGTCTGATTTGCTATCTTTATACCATAAATGAGCAGATGGAATTGAAGTATGCCTTGAATCTTCAGGAAAAGTCTATACATCTAAAAGTAGCATGCACCTTCAGTCATGGAACAGCCATGTGCTGAACTAAATAAAAATCCTATTACTGTGCACTTACTTGAAGTACCTAGCTAGTTTTGTTTTGTTTGATGCTGGATATTTCTTTGGCTTCATAGATCATTAAAAAAAATCTGTTTGCCGTCACAAAAATTAATATACTCACACTAAAAGTTACTAACCGTCATTATATAACAAACAGTAGGAGAAATTTGGAGGACGTAAAAATAAAAATTACTGGATTCTTAAATATTAAAGTATTTGGGTGCTTTTAAAGTTATTTTATTTCCCTCTATAATGTTGATACCAGTCTATATTATTTATTTAGTTCAACCTATTTGAAATTATTTAAATCAGAGTACATTCAGATATTTGTTTTTCTTTTTTGGTTTTCAAAATTGAGTTTTCCTATTATTCCCTTGTTCTTAGGAAAAGAACCTGAAGGTATTAGCAAATTCTAAATCCTATTAATGAAGAGTTGGACTTTCTATGATGTCATAAGAGACTTGCGATATCTATCTCTGTAAGGTTGAGGTAGGACCAGAAATGCACTTTTGCAGAATGTTTAAGGCTGGCTGCTAATAGTATAGAACAGAAACAGGTATTCTTCTTAGTCTCCCTTATAATGGTTAAAGTTCTGCTCAGAAAGAACTTGTAACTGTTCATTATCTTTTATTGCATCATTTTCCTTTTTGTAGAGTGAAAATTGGTGTGGCTTCTAAAATTGGTGTAGCTTCCAGAAATGGACTGGGAGACATTATAGTCACGACGACTTAGATTTGGTTTTGGAAGTTATTAACAAAGCATAATTGATGTTTTTAAATCAAACACAACTGAGTATAACTACAATTTGTATCTTGAAACTTGTTTTGCCATTTGAATAAAACAAAAGGAATAAATGAAAACCAGTGTGGTGTGTGTCCATAATGCAGTGCCATTTTTAAAAGGACACAAATGTCATGAGCTACTTTATTCTAATGATTGGTTAATCCTGTCACTTTTATATACCTCCAATAAATTCTAGTCATAGATTCCACAGACAGAAAGTGTTATTAAAGTTTATGTTGAACATTTATTGAAAATCCTTACTTAAATGTCCTGAATGGGTCCTACAAGAGGAACACCGATCAAGGTTTTCAAGAAACTTGCTATTTAGTAGGGGGAGCAAACACAAACTTTGGTGCATTATAATTATGGAAATGAGGTAGGTAACTGGTGTGAGGTCTCAAAAGTTAGTGATCCTAATAGACCTGGGAGAAAAAGTAGGGGTTTGCCAGAAAGGAATAATGAGATTAAAAAATCTCAGAGATGTGACACAAGTAGGGGGTTTTAGGAGTTGAGAAATAGGCAGTATGACTTTGTTATTGCTCTAAGATGACCATTTTGATAGTCTCTCTGTTCTCCATCCTGCTAAAGACTTTGCCTCTTACTGAAAAACTATCAGAAGATGGAATTCATCTTCCCACTATCAAATCTATAAACCTACCTGCTTCAGCACCCAACCTTTCTCTCCAGCTATAGCTGAAGTGTCTCTCATGTAAACTCAACCACTCCACATTATAATGAGGTAATCCATCATCCCTTCATTTCTCAAGACCTTTAGTTATTTTGTTAGTATCTCTACCACATTTTTGGTCCCCTCCCGCCTTCCAAATCCCCAGCAGTGTCTTAAACACTGCCTGGTATTTCCTGTGCTATGGCAACCTACCCCAAGCTTATTTTTCACTTACACCATAAGTTCTACAAGGGCAAAGACCACATAACATATAACTAGCACTCATTACAGTGCTCTACATATTTGGTGTTCCATATTTTTTTTAAAAGATTTATTTATTTATTTATACAAGCACTGGGTACAGTCAGAAGTGCGGGAGGGTGAGAGAATTCACCAGAGCCAGAGGAGAGCAGAGCAGGCAGAGTGACAAAGTACACTGCTGAGGGGAGCAGTGGGCAGCAGGAGAGGTCTGCGCGCCATGTGGGACCCTCTCCAGCGGCCGGGGATTGAACCGGCGCTGCAGAGGCTTCAGGCAGCTTCGCAACCCAGCAGTCAACCGCTGCGCCACTGGGGAGGCCCTTCCATACTTTTTTAAGCAAGTGACAGAATGTCTTATATGTCCAGCTAAGGTGTAATTTTGTGTGGAAAGTAGTAGACGTTAGTTTAAACAGGAGAGCTGGACATCATTAGCTGTGTGGTGTTGATTGTTGGGAAGCAAAGGCTCTGAGGAAAATGTAAGGAAACATCTACTCAAGGACATTTCTCCAGCACTTGCCTCTCTATCCATCAATTTCTTTCTAGTATCATCATGAGATAAATAAGCAAAACCCAATTCCCTTCAACCCATATCCCCCTCCACAGCAAAACTAAATGTTGGTCTTGCTGTTTCAGTCCCATTCCAGGCTCTGATTTTGAGGGATGAGAAGCTGTTGGAAGATAAATTTTAGAAGACCACTTTGATTGCAGTATAAGCGACAGCCTGTAGAGAAGCATGAGAACTGAGTCTCCATCTAGAAAAATATATCCAGATCTTACCTAATATTAAGATTAAAAACCAATGCTTTTAAATATTAGATTATTACATAATTAATATATAGGATACATGGTTACAAAGAGTTTCTGAGAAATTTAAGAGTTCCCTTGGGAAGTAGGGCCAGGTTCTCGGATTAGTTCCTCTCATGGTGTGAAGTTGGACTTTCATACAAGGGATCATCCATAACTAATTTGAAAAGAAAATGATGCTGGAGCAGTTGGATATGGGAGGGGAAAATTTGCAGGGAACCTCTACCTAAGCCTTACACCATATGTAAAAAGTAACAAAAAATAGACAGAATTAAATATAAACATGAAATCTTTAAAAGCACAATAAAAATTGTAGGATCATACTAAGAGTTATTTTCTTAGACTTGACTCCAAAAGCATGATCCATAAAAGGAAAAACTGGTAAGTTGGACTTCATTAACATTAAGAACTTTTGCACTTGGCAAAAAACAAAACAACAAAAATTCTGCTAAAAGGATAAAAGGACAAGCTATAAATTGAGAGAAAATATTTGTAAGTCACAAATCAGTAAATAATTACCTAGATTATGTAAAGAACCCTCAAAACCTAGCAGTTAAAAACCAAACCATCCAATTAGAAAATTGGCAAAATACAAACACATTTCAACAAAGAGGTTATACAGATAGCAAATAAACACATGAAAAGATGTTCAACCAATTAGCCATTAAGGAAGTGCAAATTTAGTGGAGTATGGTGGAAGGCTGGGTTCTTTGGTGGTGGGTATGGTGTGTGAACACCAAAAGAGAGTTATCCTTAAAACAGAAACGTTGTTCAATGTTACCTCAAAAAGATGCAAATTAAAACCACAATTTTTAGATTATTACATACCTCGCAGGATGTCTAAAATGAAAAATAGTCAAGAATGCAAGAAATGCAGAGAAATCGAATCACTCATATATTCCTGGTGGGAATGTAAAACTATAGTTACCATGGAAAACAATTTGGTAGTTTCTTTAAAAACTAAACATGCAACTGCCATGGACTCAGCAGTTGTGCCCCTGGGCCTTTATTATTTCCAGAGAAATGAAGGTTCATGTTCATAGAAAAATCTGTATACAAATGTTTATAGCAACTTTATTCATTACAGTACCTAAATGGAAACAATCCAAATAACCTTCAACAGGTGAATGATTAAACAAAGTGTTACATTCACACTTTGATTACAATATATAGAACACTGTTGATAACACTGATTCACTCTAGTGAATCTCCAGAGGATTATACTGAATTAAAAAAAAGTAAATCCCCAAAGTTATGTACTGTATGGTTCCGTTTATGTAATTAAAAGAGAAAAAGTTATAGAAATCGAAAACAGGTTAGTGGTTCCCAGAGGTTAAGGAAAGAAGTAGGTAATATTATATAAGGGCAAGTGTAGGATCAGGGAAGTTATGGAAAGAAATGTTCTGTATGGTACTACAATTTTACAAGCTGTTACCACTTAAGGAAAATGGATAGAGTACATAGAATCTCCCCGTATTACTTCTTACAACTGCACAGGAATGTACAACCATCTCAAAATAGTTTAATTTTTAAAATCTAATTATGTGACATGGCCTTCTCTCCCTGTTTAAACCTTCCAATAGTTGACTACTGTTCTTAAGACCGTACAATAGATCCTTCTCATGATGATCTCCGCCCATCTTTCAAGATAACCAGGCTCCGTTTCAGGCTTTTTGTGCTCCACCCACACCGGTATTCTTTCAGTACCCCACTAGACATACTCCTATCTACTCAGGAAGCTTGGCAACGCCGGTCCCATAAGAACTGTTTCCCTTCTGTCTTCTTATTTCCCCTCCCCCTTTTCATTTCACTCCTACTCACCCTCCAGACCTCAAACGAACCTTCCCATCGTTAGGACGAGCTTCCTCAACCTCTATGATTAATGTGTTTTCTATACTAGACAGGTAGTTCCACGAAGAGAGAAACTGTATCTGTTAGCGTCACTGAAAGCGAGCAGCGAGTTTCGCACTGAAAATGCTCATTAACGACAGTATTTATGACTCGAAGGACTGAATGATCGCCCACACTCGCACAGGGGCGCTCTGAGAGCCGCGACAGACCCGCGTCGCGCTTGCTACACGTCACTTCCTCCCGGAAGACGCTCTGGCGGCGCCGCTCAGATTCCTGTCACGACCAGACTCCCTCAGCCGTGGCCATGTCCCTGCCGCCCTTCTTTGCCCCGGGCCGCCCGGGCCCGCCACCCCCGCAGCCGCCGCCCCCGCTCCTTTCGGCTGTCCGCCGCCGCCGCTGCCTTCCCCGGCTTTCCCGCCGCCTCTTCCGCAGCGGCCGGGGCCCTTTCCGGGGGCCTCCGCCCCCTTCCTCCAGCCGCCGCTGGCTCTGCAGCCCCGGGGCCCCGCGGAAGCCTCCCGCGGGGGCGGCGGCGGCGGCGTCGCCGGTAGCGGCGCCTTCTACCCGGTGCCGCCGCCGCCACTGCCCCCGCCGCCACCCCAGTGCCGGCCCTTCCCGGGGTCCGACGCCGGCGAGCGCCCGCGGCCGCCGCCCCCAGGCCCGGGGCCGCCCTGGAGCCCGCGCTGGCCTGAGGCGCCCCCGCCGGCCGACGTGCTCGGGGACGCGGCCCTGCAGCGCCTGCGCGACCGGCAGTGGCTGGAGGCGGTGTTCGGAGCCCCGCGGCGGGCCGGCTGCCCGCTGCCCCCGCGGGCGCCCGCTGGGCCCAGTCTCGGCGAAGTGCGCGCGCGGTTGCGCGGGGCTCTGCGCCTGGTGCGGCGGCTGCGCGACCTGGGCCAGGCCCTGCGCGAAGCCGAGGCCGACGGCGCGGCCTGGGCACAGCTGCACGCCCAGGCCGCGCCGCTGCGGGCCGAACTGGCCGAGCGGCTGCAGCTGCTGACCCAGGCCGCCTACGTGGGCGAGGCGCGGCGGAGGTTGGAGAGGGTCCGGCGCCGCCGGCTGCGGCTTCGCGAGAGGGCCCGGGAACGCGAGGCCGAGCGGGAGGCGGAGGCCGCACGAGCTGCGGAGCGCGAGCAGGAGATTGACCGCTGGAGGGTCAAATGCGTGCAGGAGGTGGAGGAGAAAAAGAGGGTAAGAGCTGCAAGTGGTGTCGGCAACCTGAAGGGACTTGAGGCATTACGCTGCCATTTCCCAGGACTAAGCTTCACTTTCCTCCTCTGTAAAATAGATACCTTGCCTTTCCGACTTTATTAATTGCAAGTTAATGATGTACCGTGTGCACCACAGATGCTCTAGGTGCGCTATATAGCCGTGTAAACACAAAAGCCTAGAATTACACAGTTGTTTTAGAGAGGACAGATCTCTCTCTGCTCAAACTTTCTGTCCACTTAACGTTCAAGGCTAACAAGTATCACAGTTCTTGTGTCTTGTGCTGTTTTAGGTGACTTTAAGGATAGAAAATAAGAGAACTTGAGGTCTTGCCTCAAGGAACATATGCCCTTATTGGCTGCTGGGGCAGTAGTTATGATTTGCCCAGGATTATTTTGCTCTTAAGTTATAAACAAATCTCCAGGTTCATCGGTGGCGTTTTATTTTTTTATTTTAAAGATTTTATTTTTATTTATTTATGCACACAAGAACTGGGATATAGGCCAGAGGTGCAGGGCCAGAGACAGAGTGGGGAGCAGAACAGGTGGATCCACTGAAATACACTGCTGAGGGAGCAGGGGGCCAGACAGGAGAGGTCTGCTGTGCCATGTGGGTTTTTCTTCCAGGTGGGGGTCCAACTTAAACTGCAGTGGCTGGCAATAGTTTGATGGCACTGAGACTTTTAACTCCTGTGCCACCAGAGAGGACCAGCAGTGGAGTTTTTGAGCACTTTTGAGTGTACACACACACACACACATTATGCTACATCTTTACAGACACCATATCTTGAATTTTCCATATAATCCTGAGTTCTAGGTGGTATTGACTCAGTCTTACCAATTAGGAAATTGAAGCATAGAGAACTAAACTTGCCAGCACACAATTGGCCTGTGGCAGTTTCACTCCTGATTTGAGCCCTGGTTGTCTGACGCCAAACCTGTTGATCTCAGGCTGTCAGTGAGGGCCTGGGTGAAAGGAAACTGGTCATATAGTTTAAGTCATTCTCATTCTTTTTTTCCCTCTGGATACTTTTCCTTATCCCACCACTCTCCACAAGAAGCTAGTTTCCTCCTTCCTTATGTCTGCTACAGCCCTAGAGTCTGATATAACACCCCTATGTAGTGCATTGATAGTAAACTTTGTCTTCACACCCCCAGGGATATCAGTCTTTTAAAGAAGAATGCTTGGAGAGGCAAGGCCTTAATCTGAGGGAGTTTGTGTTGATTCAGCAGAGGGCTCATTATGTGAAAGTGTGGGGTACTGAGAATAACAATGAATAGGACGTAGACCTCGTACTTGAGGGACATGGGTTCTCTGGGGAATCGTGTTAGCACCACAGCATGGTGAGGATTTCAGTTGTAGGTGCAGTAGGAGCTCAGAGAAGGAAAGTCTAACTGAGAGAAAGTATCAGAGCCCCTTCCTGGTGATATAGTGACATCTGAACTGAGTGTTGAAGGAAATAGTCAAAGTCAAGGGAAAGCAACAGGGCCAGTTCCTGGCATAGGGAGTAATACAGGCATAAGAGTGAAATGGCATGCTGTGGTTGTAATGGTGAAATTAGGGATACTTAGTTGACAGATGGGAAAGAAAGTTTTAGGTAAGAGAGTTCTCCCTACCACCTATGTGAGGGTTGTAGGCAGAGACTCATGAGTAGTGGCTTGAAGAACCAGAGTTATTTAGTCTGTGTATTTGTGAACCAACTTAAGAAGTGGTCTTCAGCTATCGGTGGAAAATATCCTTGGGCCTGAATCTTTAGAGCAGTGGGGCACAACTGCAGAGATTGTTACTCAACATTGTGGAGTCCTGGGCCTTTCCAACCTCATTACTGCTAGTTTGAATCTTTGGGGTCTGCATTTTAACAAGAAAACCCCAACTTAATAAGGCATTTTGGAGGCATATGTTCCTTTAATTACACTTTGAGAAATTCTGAGGAAGAAACAGATGAGTGCCCATGTGGAAGCTGCAGAAAGGCGAGATTCTCCTTTAAGATGAGGGTTGTATCATCAGTGAAGGGGCATTACCCCTTGGCTGGACTAGTTGTGTAAAGCCCAGGAAATTGGGATGTAGATCCAGTAGTTTCTCTGAACGCTAGGACTGCGTGATCATCTGAAATCTCTGCAGGCAGCTGTTCTCTGTTGTAACATTTTACAACAGACCTTATGCAAAGTCTCATGGACTCTTTCTCCTCCAGGAGCAGGAACTTAAAGCTGCTGCTGATGGTGTCTTATCTGAAGTGAGGAAAAAACAAGCAGATACCAAAAGAATGGTGGACATTCTTCGGGCTTTGGAAAAGTTAAGAAAACTCAGGAAAGAGGCCGCAGCAAGGAAAGGTAACTGTAGCTTTGCATTTCTTCCTCTGTCCCCCCTTCCTTTCTTTACCATACTGTCTCTCCCCAACACACACTTTTTAAGGAAAAGTGCTTGATAATTCATTATTTCTACCCAATAGGGTAAGTAGGCTTGTCAACAGTACCTCAGAACTTTTGAAGCAAGAAGTCTCAGAAGATGTTTAGCCTTTAGTAGCCAAGTTGAAAAGAGAGGCAAGTGTGGGAACCCACTGTGCTGTCTTCCCCTTGACTCATCATTCCTACCGCAGGCATTCCTGGCCACACTTTTCTGAGTGAGGTTGTTGTAGCTATTCTATTCTTATTTTGTGCTTCAGAAAGTGTCTGAAACTTGTCATGCTCCCTCATATATTTCATGCTCCCTCATATGAAACACTGAAGTTTGAAGGTATGGATGGTTGGATGGGACAGGGAGTGCTATGCAGACTGCATGGATGTCCCCGCCTACCTGCATGTCACTTTTGAACTCAAAAAATCGCAGTGGTTCTGCTTTTCAATATAATACTGGAAGTCCTAGCCAGAGCAATAAGACAAGAGAAAGACATCCAAGGAATCCAAATAGGAAAAGAAGAAGTCAAACTATCACTATTTGCAGATGATATGATAATATATGTAGAGAACCCCAAAATCTCCACAGAAAAACTAATTCAACTCATCAATCAATTCAGTAAAGTGGCAGGATACAAAATCAACACGCAAAAGTCAGTAGCCTTCCTATACACAAACAATAAATCTGAAGAAGAAGAAATCAAAAAAACCACCCCTTTTATTATTGAAACAAAAAAATCAAATATTTGGGAATAAATCTAACAAAAGAGGTAAAGGACCTATACAAAGAAAACTATAAAACACTGTTAAAAGAAATAGAAGAAGACACAAAGAAATGGAAAGACATCCCCTGCTCATGGATTGGAAGAATAAACATTATTAAAATGGCCATCCTACCAAAAGCAATATACAGATTCAATGCTATTCCAATCAAAATCTCAATGGCATTCTTCAAAGAAATAGAAAAATTATTGATGAAATTCATATGGAATCACAAAAAACCCCGAATAGCCAAAGCTCTCCTGAAAAAAAAAGAAGGGAATGGAGGCATCAGACTCCCAGACTTCAAACTATACTACAAAGACATAATCATCAAAACTGCATGGTATTGGAACAAGAACAGACATACAGACCAATGGAATCGAATAGAAAATCCAGAAATAAACCCACAGATTTATGGTCAACTAATCTTTGACAAAGGAGCAAAGACTATGCATTGGAGCAAAGAAAGTTTGTTCAATAAATGGTGCTGGGAAAACTGGGTCGCTACATGCAAAAGAATGAAGCTTGACCACCACCTCACACCATACACAAAAATCAACTCAAAATGGATTAAAGAACTAGACATAAGACCTGAAACCATAAAATACATAGAAGGAAATATAGGCGAAACACTACGGGATTTGCACATCAAAGACATCTTTACAGACACATCACCCAAAGCAGTGATAGTGAAGAGAAAGATAAACAGCTGGGACTACATCAAATTAAAGAGCTTCTGCACAGCAAAAGAGACAATAACAAAAACAAAGAGAAACCCCACCAACTGGGAGAACATTTTTGCACCCAACACTAATGATAAAGGACTGATCACAAAAATCTGCAAAGAGCTGATGAGACTCAGCAACAACAAAGAAAATAATCCAGTCAAAAAATGGGCAGAAGAGCTAAAAAGAAACTTCTCTGAAGAGGAAATGCAAATGGCCAACAGACATATGAAAAAATGTTCAACATCACTTGTCATCAGGGAAATGCAAATCAAAACTACCATGAGATACCATCTCACACCAGTGAGAATGGCACATATTAAAAAAACTAGCAACAACAAATGTTGGCGAGGATGTGGAGAAAAAGGAACTCTTGTGCACTGTTGGTGGGAGTGCAAACTGGTCCAACCACTATGGAGAGCTGTGTGGAGATTTCTGGACCTACTAAACATAGAGCTTCCATATGATCCAGCAATTCCACTCCTAGGTATTTACCCAAAGGACACAGAAACATCAATTCCAAAGAGCACCTGCACTCCTATGTTTATAGCAGCACTGTTTACAATAGCTAAGCTTTGGAAACAACCCAAATGCCCAAAAATAGATGACTGGATCAAGAAGATGTGGTACATATATACCATGGAATATTACTCAGCATTCAAAAAAGATAAACACATGCAATTTGCAGCAACATGGATGGCACTGGAAGGGCTCATGCTCAGCGAAATAAGCCAAAAAGAAAAAGAAAAATACCGGATGGTCTCACTCATAGCAGGAATCTAGAAAACTTAAATAAGGGACCAGGAAAATGAATATAAGAAAGTGAAAATCAAAATCAACAAAAAACTATGAACCAGAGACACTTTTTGGGGGGTGGGGGGCGGGAGGGGAAGGATTGGGGTCAGAATGGGGCGTTTGCAATTGTATGGGGGAATATAAAAATAAAATTTAATATTAAAAAAAAAAAAAATCGCAGTGGTTTCTTGCCTTTAGAGGAGGTGTCAGACACCATAGCCAGGTGTCTGACAAAGTTTGTTCCAGCCATGCTGGTTCTAGACATTTCCCAGTTGTGCTTTTTATTTGCCTACCTAGACCTTTGCTCTTATCAGTACATTTGTCTGGAGGTCCCTCAGTTTCATCATTATAATTTTAAGCTCTCACTATCCTTCAAAAACTAATGGAGATAACAGCATCATCATCTTTGACCTAGGCTGAGGTGGCCACCTGGTTTTTGTCATTTGCATTTCTCTTCTTCATTTGGTCCACATACTGCCTTATTTAGTGAGTTCTGTACCATTGGCATTCACCAGGAATATTTGAGGGTACACAAATTAACAAGTTCCACTATCCTTTTGTGGCTTAAAATACATGAAAACTGTGATTCTTTCAAACCCTTAATGTTAAGTTTTGTGATGTGACCATTGTACTTTCAGCAAGCCTCATTTACTAGCTAAGTGATTAGCTTCTGCATGCCAGACTTCAGCGTGGCTAATTTCAACTCAAGTATCAAGATAAGATAACTCCATTGTAGTACATTATGAATTTTTATGAATCAGAGAAGAGTTTGCATCTACTGTCACTATCCATATCTCTTCTCTACTAGAATGTAAAATATAAGGACTATTTAATGTTTTCCTATCCCATGGCCTCCATGAGGTGAGTAGTCAGAGTAGTCATTAAACTTTTCCCAAGTGAATTCAGCAGTAAACATTCTCAATGTATTAGTCTTCTTCACTTTGGAGGAGAAAATTTTAGGAAATTTTACTTACTGTAAAAGTAAGTAGTCTCTATGGAGTTAAAATGATTTGGTATCTAGCTGTTCGCTATATTGTATACTTAAAAAGAAAATTGGCAACTTTCTAACTTCTCTCTTCAAGTCATAAAAGTCCTGCAAATTCTAAGCAGATTCATGCTCTAAGTCTGGCGTTGAGTCTGCTCCTTAGAAAACAGATTTAGGGATATGAAAAAGGCATGTCAGGGGCCTCCCTGGTGGCACAGGGGGTTAAGCACAGCACTGTGAAGCTATGCACAGCCACTGCAGCACGAGTCCAATCCCTAGCCGGCCAGGGAGCAACCCACATGGTGCAGCAGACCTCTCCTGACTCACCCGCTTCTCCCCTCAGCAGTGTATTTCAGTCAGTCTGCCTGTTCTGTTCCCCATTCTGTCTCTGGTGAATCCTCTCACCCTCTACCCTATACCCCAGCTCTTGAATGCATAAATAAATAAATCTTAAAAAAAAAAAAAAAAAAAAGTCTTGTCTAAATGCCATTTGAATCTCTTTTCTGTAGGAGTGTGTCCTCCAGCCTCTGCAGATGAAACTTTTGAGCATCATCTTCAGCGGCTGAGAAAACTTATTAAAAAACGCTCTGAACTCTATGAAGCTGAAGAGAGGGCCCTCAGAGTTATGTTGGAAGGAGAACAGGAGGAAGAGAGGAAAAGAGAATTAGAAAAGAAACAGAGAAAAGAAAAAGAGAAAATTTTACTTCAGAAGCGTGAAATTGAGTCCAAATTATTTGGGGATCCAGGTAAGTTCCTCTGTAATCAGTGAAGAAAAGGAGAATACTAGAGTGACAGCTGTTTTCCTCATGGATGATCTCAATTTAAGCTGAGAGGTGGTGGACAACAAGTGATACTTTCACGATTTGAAATTCTAAACTATGTCATGAAAATCATGGGTCAACATGAAACACATCTGATCATATCAGAATCATAGGCTTAGTCATCTTGGCTTGAGAAATACATTCTAGATACCAAGCATGATAACGCGGTATTGTGCTGCTTTTCTTTTACAGATGAGTTCCCGCTCACTCACCTCTTGCAGCCTTTCCGACAGTATTACCTCCAAGCTGAGCACTCCCTACCTGCACTCATCCAGATAAGGTCAGAGTGAAGCTCTTGGTGTTGCCTTTTGCTTAGGTAGCAAGAAGCAGTTGATGAAATGCTTACATTATTACAGTCTATTAATTTCTCTTTTTAAAAAATTCCTAATGGTTTACATAAAGTTTCCAAGTTTCGTGGATATCATGAACATCTTGTTTAGTTCTCCTTAATCCTTGAGAGTAGATGTCTCTGTTTTAATAGGTGAAGAAACATAAAGTCAGGTTGTGACTTGCCCTTTTGTGTTTCCCATGCAATAGCTGTTATGCTGATTGAAAGCATTGACTTCCTTTTCCTAGCTCTCTCCTGCTGCTAAACAGACCAAGGGTATTTGCCTGTGGAAACTATTTAAGATCCATGTTTACTGTCTTACTGGGCAAAGCTGAGAGAGCTAGAAATGAGGAGTGTTATCTTAATCTGAAGCTACTAATGATTTGGGTGTTTTGCAGCTCTGTGGGTCTCAGTTTCCTTAGCTAGAAAATAAAAACGGTGGACTAGAATGTCACCTTCAAACTTTAGCAGTGGTATTCTTCTCAAATGCAGGTTATTTGTTTTGTTTCGTTTTAATGAGTATGTACAACAAATAGAAGGAATGAATGTGTTCTGCAAGCACCTTAAGTCAATTGTTGACAGGAAGTATTTTGTTCTTTCTAGAAACCCTCTTACCCCCTGGGGCCCCCCCCCCCCAAAAAAAAAATCTACTTGGGGCCTAGGGGGTTCTTCAAAACTTGGTTTAAAAGTCACTGAACTAAATGATCTCTGAGTTCTTTGCAAAGCTCCGACAATGCTCTTTAGCATACCAATTTTACATTCTGGGAAAAGTATATTTCTGGCCAGTGTACAATTTTAGCTTTTAAACAGAAGTGCAGTCACATCTCATTGCTTGTGGTAGCTATGTTCTGTGAAATTGCAAACACTGAATTAGAGCATTCTGAACTGCTACTAATCTTGAACTCAGTCCTTAAGGGAATGCAGGGTTAGGTTCTTGTGAGCCTCTGCTGCAACATTTTCATCAATCAATCAGTGCATAATATTGTTTTCTCTGTATTTCTTTTTAAAGAGACCTTATTTAATAATACTATTGATTCATAAACATTGAACTCATGGCTGACAGTACTATCACTCGTGCCTGAATGAAGTCTCTGTAACATATATTCTCTGTAAGGCACATCGTAGCCTTCTTATACTAATCAGCACTTCACCACAGATTTGGGAGCCATTTTAAACAGCCAGATCACCAATAAAAAGCGTAAGATTTGAAAAATATGATACTAAATTGATTTCAGAAAGAACAGTTGTTTATAGCATGAAAATAAGAGGTAGATTATCCTTTTACTCTACCTCAACTGGAAACATGCCTGTCATAAGTGACAAAAACATCACTAGTAGTGATTTTGGTACTACAAATACATTTTAGTGAGTAAGCAAATTTGTAAATACATAGTCTGCAAATAATGAGGATTGACTGTCTATTCATTATGTGATTATCCATAAGGTTATAAATTCTTTAGTTTTTACCCCCCATGAAATGTATATAATTGACATCAGTTATTTGAAAGCTAAGTTTGGAAATAGAATACTTAGTTCTGAACATCTTGCTTGGAATAAAACAGGAATAAACAATTGTTCTACAATGTTCTTATCAAGGCATGATTGGGATCAGTACCTGGTGCCATCTGATCATCCCAAAGGCAACTCCGTTCCTCAAGGATGGGTCCTTCCCCCGCTCCCCAGCAACGACATCTGGGCAACCGCCATTAAGCTGCATTAGTAAAGATGCTGAGTGTGGTCCAGCCAAGGCTCTCTCCAGCTCTAAGTACTAGTGATGCTGCCTTCATGTGCTGTATACTAAACTGCAACCTCTAAACTCCATGTGGCAGTGTCCTGCCTAGAAGTTACATTTTCCTTCAGTGCTCTGTCCTGCCTAAAGGTGCCTCTTGAATCAGGAGATTAATGTGGTTCTGTAGGAAAGGACCTAGGTGAACTGTGTTTATTACTACAGACAGTGGCCTTGGTTCCCTGAATTTGCCTCATTTTTGAGGGGCTTGGTCCTGGTCATTTGTTAATTTACTCTTACCTTCCTTGTGTGGTTATGGGTAAGTATACTGAATATACACTTCACACTCAACACAGGGTGTGTATAGGATAGATTTAGCATCCCTCCCCCCAGGACTGAATGTAAAGGCAAGCTTGATACAAAATCTCCTTACCCTTCCTACCCTGAGAGCTGCCTAACCTCCAGGAAGAAAAGTCAAAAATGCTTTTTCTTTCTTACTTTTTGGTGCAGCTTGAGAGGCTCCCAGCTGGAGCCAGAAAAGCTGGTGACCTAGTGTGGTGCTCATATGGAGAATTTTGAAGCCTGAAGAATACTTACATCCAAACAGGTTGTGTTTCGGTGGAGGATTGGCTACATTTCCCCATGTTAGAAGGATGCTAATGAAAGCACCTGTATTTAAGTTCCTAGAGGTTTATTTCAGAATACCCATGGATAGAAATTTATATTGCTATGGGAGTGGAATACAACTTCAGTCAGTCATATCACAATATGTGGAGTATAGCCCCACATACATAGTGGAATGTTCTTAGGAACTCAACTTCCAAAAGGTGGGGGAGAAGCAGATGAAAATAATAAAATTTATTTTTTTATAGTCATTAATAAATGCTTTTGTGCCTGGAGATGATCAGTCATATAATATGTTATTTTGTTTTGTTTTGCTTTTTGTCATTTATTGTGTTATTTATGTTCCCAAAGAGCTAAATAAATGTCATTTTTATTTTCTAGTTTGAGCCTTTGCTCCTAGTTTGTTGCCTTCCAAATCACTACACATACTTTCACATTGATAACACATTTCACTCAAAATTCAAATGTATTTAATAGGTATTTGGTATAGGAAGGCAAATCTCAAGTGTTGAACTTTGCCTGCAGAGTTCAGCCCTGGATAAGCAGGAAAGGATACCATCAACTTTGGAAATTATTTGATATAGTTGGAAGCTCCTGGGTAAAAGGACTTTTGTTCCTTTTCTCTGGTTTAATCTGCACCGTTAAATTTACATACTACTCATACAGATAACAGATGGGCTGTGAGGACAAGCACTTCTCTAACGTGTGTCTAAGCTCATACATCTTAAAACTGATGTGATAAACTTCATGTAAAATCCATGGTTCTATGTGCCCATTTGTTATATCTCTACTATTTGCTCTCTGTGAGATGCAGCTAGAGTAGAGATAAAAGATGAATTATATAATGTACACTTGGTGTTCAGAAAGCATTGCCACTAAGGTGTTTGCCTTGGGGTGTCTGATGGGAGCAGGGAGTGTGAAGTAGGCACTGGGGAAAACTGGCCACAGACCCCAAGGAGAAGAAGGCAGTTAACCCCAAGTGGAAAAATACTTTGATTTGGCTTCTGCGAGATTTTTTGAAGGTATTAATTGTGTTCAATTTTTGTTTTGTGGATTTTTTCTGGTTTGTTGCTTCGGGTCGCGGTGGTTATAGCAGCCACTGATGCTTCGGGTTGTGGTTGCAGCAGCCACTGATACTTAATGGGTTAGAAAGACTAGAATACAAACAATGTCATTATCCCACAACCCTTTTTTTTTTTTAAGTTTATTGTGGAAATTTTCAAATATTCCAAAGATAATAGTATAAGAATTTTCCCCTCATATCCATAATAACTCATGACAAATCTTGATTTACCTATACCTTCACCATTCATTCTGAATTATTTTGAAGCAAATCCCAGATACCAAATTACTTCATATTTTAGTATATAACAACAATTTTTAAAAATTTAACCATCATGCTTAAAGAAATTAACAACTCCTTAATATCAAATATCCGGTGTCCAGATTTCTTTATCTCAAAAATGTGTTTTATACTTAGTTCAAAGCAAGATATAAATACACATGTCGCTACTGGTTAGTATGTCTCAAATTTCTGATAATCTGCAGGTGTCTCTCCTGTACTCTCTCTCTCCCTTGCATTTTATTACTTGGGGAAATGTAAACATTTTTCCTGAAGAGTTCCCAGTCTGATTTGGTAATTGCATCCTTGTGACAGCATATTTCTCTCTCCTCTAGTTCCTGTAGTGATTAGAAGCTGTGCTGTCCAATACGGTAGCCATATTTAGCTATTGGGCAGTTGAAATTCAGAGTTTGAATTGAAACTGAGTTTGAATTGAGATGAGCAGTTACGCATGTGGCTCATATTTTTGGACAATGCTGATCTAAAGACTTGATCACATTTAGATGAGAATTCTCTGGTAAGAATATTTCATAGGTGCCCTCCCTGGTGGCGCAAGGGGTTAAGCACAGCGCTGTGAAGCTAGCCGCAGCCTCAGTAGTACAAGTTCGATCCGTGGCCAGGGAGCTACCCACATGGCGCAGCAGACTTCTCCTGTCTCGCCTGCTCGTCTTCTCCTTTCTTGCCTCCCCTAGCAGTGTATTTCAGTGGATTCACCTGTTCTGCTCCCCACTTTGCCTCTGGTGAATCCTCTCACCCCTGCAACTCTGGCCTGCACCTCAGTTCTTGTGTGCATAAATAAATAAATCTTAAAAAAAAATATTTCATAGGTGTACTCCAATTCAGGAGGACTAAGGTCTAGTTGTCTCTTAGGATTTGAGCAGTCAGTAATAATCAATACTTAAATTTATTCATATGCAATTGCAAACAGTGGGGTTTAATTTTGCCATTCTTTATTAGCTGGAATACTTATAAAATTAAACCTATCCCTTTAACTATATGGTTACCTGAAAGTACAGTGTGTATAGGAACAAGAGATAAAAAAATGTAATCTCCTTTATTTTCAAAATAATGAGCTGATTCCTAGCATCCTCCAAAGTAAATTTGTTTTTTAAGTATCATGAACTTCAACCTAGACATGGTTGGTCTTGACTCACCTTTGGCCTATGACTCCTGCTTCTCAGTTCCTGAGTTCCCACTCAGTCCCAGTATCCTATCCAACTTTATCTTGTACATTTCCTGCTCCAGGCCTGGAATCAGTTATTTCTACAGCAAGCCTTGATTCTTCTTCATTGGAAAAGGTACTTCTAGGTCACAGTCTGTATGATAGGGGTACTCATTGTTGCTCCTTATTATTAGTTCTTATTTTCAGTCAGAGCTTGGATAGCTGTAGCTCTATAGCTGTAGTTATATTAAGCCTTTAGCCCTTTTCTAAAATTTCTTTTTTACACCTATACCTTAATTCTATATAGTGAAGATTAAGTAATGAAAATAGAAAAATAAACTCATTCAAAGATTAACCAGAATATTAACCTATTATGTGCAAGGATATTGTTTACCTCATATTTCCCAGTAGAAGAACCCTGGACTTTCCAAAAAACTAATAAAAGCATTTATTCTAAGAAATCAGCCAAGTGAAATTTATGAAATAGATAATTTACATTAGTTCCATCTAAGTATTTAGCTCAAGTGGCTGAATTTATGATGTCAGAGGGTTTGCTGCTACAAACCAACCAAGGTAATCACTATAATCTAAAACCATTCATGTTCCTAAATCCATGTGACTCTAGTATAAAGATGTATTGAGAAGCTTAGCTGGGATATACCATCTGTGTAGCAATTCATTTCTACGCCTTTCATCCATAGAGAAGCCATCCTGGGAATTACAAGGTAAGTACAAAGTATATCTTGTTCTATTCAAAGTATAATATGTAATTAACATAAAAGGAATGCATATGCTAGGAAGAATTAGCAGTGATGAGTCAGTTGTAATTGTGATAAGTGTTAAGTGTTAGAAAAAATGCTTAGTAATGGATTTATAATTTCATTGTTCATAAATAAAGTTCCTGCTGAGGCTCAGATAATTGCTAAGTGTAGGTGCTAACGTGGTAAGCAAAACACCAGAGTCCCTAATTCAACAATCAAAAATGTGCTGGGTGGTTTAAAGGAAAGGTATAGTTCTATGAATTGATTAGACTTTTCTTCCCCTCAAACTGAGGGTTCTGTAATACATTTAGGTGAGGTAATTGGAAATTTACATGTATATAGTAAAGCTGAGAATTATTCATTTTACATATATGTATATATGTGTAATATATATATATATAACGTGTATGTGTGCTAGAATATATTTCATACTAATGATCAAAAAAAAAAAATCTTGAAAGCTGCTGGACGAAGTGGACATATCCAAATTTGACGTTCAGGAAAAGCATTTTTTAAGAAATGTTCAGCTGTTTTCTAAAGAATTAACAGCTATTAACTAGTTATAGGGTAGAGACAAGAAGAACATAGCAAAGTATTTGCAACAGCATGTGCAAAGAGGATGCATGGGCACCAGTTGCTCAAGTGAGAACAGTGGGGGCTAGGACTCCCATGATAGCAGTGGAGGTAGTGTGAAATGGCTGGATTCCAAAAATCTTAGAGAGAAAACTTGGCAGGGGACCTGAGATGAGTCATGGTGAAGGAGAAGAAAGTACTAGAGATGAGTTCCAAACTTGTGTACCTTAGACATTCTTTGAAGACAAGGAAACTGGAGAAGGAGGAAAGTTTTGGGAAGGGAAAAAAATCAAGAATTTACTTTGGGTATGTTGTATGTGAGGCATGCTTGAGACATCTTGGAGGAGTTGGCTTGTGGGCAGTTTGAATTTTATCTCAGAAAAAGAATAAAGAATTTAATGTGTGAGTCACTGGTACATAGACTAATTGGCTATTACAGTACAGTGGAGAATTTTAAGAAAAGTATACTAATGTCATTGTTCAGGTTTCCCTGGACTAATTACTCCTTCCCTTCCTCCCTTTTTTTGGTCCCACCTCTGCCCTCCATGGGCTCAGGTGCAGCCAAGTGGGTAGACCCCGGGAACTGGTGTTGGAGAGGTCCTGCATAATGCAGTTTGGTAAAGCATGCACAGAACAGCTTTCTTTCCATCCCCATGCCCCCAACCTCACCTCATTGCTTGAGGCCCCTTTCAGAATTTCTCCACTGCTTACTATGTGGAGTCAGCACTTAGCCTAAAGTTCAAGGCTCTCTCCAACTCTGCCCCTTTGTGTAGACAACTTCCCCCGCACAAACTGAAGACAAGCAGCTTGTGTCCCTTTCACTTTGCCCTGCCTTACTCCCTTGCTCAGGCTGCTCTGTCCCTGGAATCATGCTCTCCACCCCATGTTTTCCCCACTCTCAGGCTGTTTTCCACTCTTTGGGGTCCAGATTAAGTCCCATCTTTCCTGAAATTTCCCCAATCCCATAAGGACTAAACTACTCTTCCTCCAAGAATTTCATCACTTAATGGTCAACACCCCTCATATGTAGCAGAGGGGACCATTATTTATAATATGTAGATCATGTGCTACATGTGTTTCTGCTTAAGATATGTGTTCCCAGAATCCCCAAACTCTTAAATTACTCCAGAAGCAAGATTATACTGAATAGAGAATATCTATTAATATACAGACACTGTGTCAGAGGTGAGGCAGGAACAGGGTTGCCCCAAACTTACTCAGTGGACAGGCAGTTCACACTTGGATCTCAACAGAACTGTGGCCATTCCCCATAGCTCAAAATTTGATAACTGAAAATGTGAATGTTAAGTCTGAGAATGTCAAAATATGAACTTTCCTGTGTTCTCTATCTTTCCTTTGTACTTCAGAGGTTCCCTGTATGAATTGGTTGATGGGACAGAGATAACTTACTGATCCCATTGGAACCCTTCTGATCCATACATCTATGCTCATGGCAGATGGACTTCTGGTTTTTGTATCAGGTTTGGTGTCAAGGTGATGCTGAAATTAGAAGAGTTAGGAAGTAATCCTTATTCTTTTTGCAAGAATTTGTGTCTTTTGACA